TCGTTTACTCTCACAGGCATTTCATGCTGCGGCCGACTTAAGCTTTAAGTATCAGTCAGTATATTTGGAGTAAACGACAGAAGCCATGAAAACTCCATTTAGAGGGTACAGGTATAAAGTAAAATAGTTAAATTGCAAAACTTTTTGCTTGCGGTTTTAGTAGGGAGAATTCATAAATATATTAATGTAACATAAAGGTGAAAGGGATATTATATTCGCAAAATAATTGCGAAAAACTTTGTTCACCGCTTTCGGACTGTGAAAATTTCAATATTGGCTAAGTTTGACGCAAAAATAGGATCTGTTGAAATCATGTTAGTAGTATATTTATAGTCATTTCAATAATCCGTTAGATCAGGCTTCGGCTGTTTGGGTTGCCTTTCAGCAGGTGAGTATCCAGTTGTCTCTTGAACACGTTCACGGTAGGGGAATTGACAACAAACTCCGGCAAAGAGTTCCATTGGCGAATGACCCTCTGTGAGAGAAAGGAGGAACGTTGATTTGTGTGGCACAGTTCCTTTTTAAGCTGGTAATCATGTCGTCTGAGATTGGACTTGGGTGCCATTTCAAAAAAACGTTTCCCAGTCGACATCCAGATTAAGTCCTTTTACCAACTGGAACGTTGCTATGAGGTCACCACTGTCCTGCCTGTAGTGGAGGGGGTAGAGGTTTAAGGCCGTCAGGCGCTGCTCGTACGTGAAGTTTTTGAGGCCATGAACAGCCTTTGTAGCACGCCGTTGTACACCTTCAAGGATAGCTATATCCTTCCGAAGCCACGGCCGCCAAGCCTGTACCGCATATTCCAGGTGCGGCCGCACAAATGTCCCGTATACTTTGCCAAGACATCTTTATTCAAGTGAATAAGCGTTCTGCGTATCGCGCTCATAACGGACATTGCCCGCGCAGCGACTTTAGAACACTGCGTGGTGACGTTTAGATCGTCTTTAATGAATACACCGAGATCTTTTTGCACATCTACGGTTTTAAATAGTTGATTGTCCAGGAGATACTGTCGTGGGGGTGCATTTGTTCTTCGCCTCGCTGATACTACGTGCATTACTGCACATTTTTTGACGTTGAATTTCATGCACCATTTCTCGCTCCATGCGTGCAAATTCGTTACGTCCTCTTGTAGCATCCTGACGTGATCTTCATCTTTTATCGCTCTCCAAAGTTTAAGGTCGTCTGCAAAGAGCGCTATGTCTGATTTCACTTCCCGTACCAGGTCATTTACATAGATAATGAATAGGAGCGGCCCAAGAACTGACTCCTGTGGGACTCCACTCGTAACAGGTGCCCATTCTGAGCAGTAGCCGCCCGCAGTGACTTTTTGTTGCCGTCCGTTTAGGAAATCTTGAATCCAGTTCAGAAGATTTCCTCTTATCCCTACTTCTGATAACTTTTGAATGAGGCGCTTATGTGGGACGCAATCGAACGCCTTACTGAAGTCAAAGTAAATGACATCAACTGGATATCCTTTACCCATGGCCTTTGACCAATGTTCGAGTGACGAAAGCAGATTTGTGAGGCAGGACCTCTTTTCGCAGAAGCCATGTTGAACTGAGGCGATGTGACAGCGGAAAGTATCGAATGATGTAATGGATTTTTTAACTAGCATTTCCATCAGTTTGCAGCAAATGCATGCCAAACTAACCGGCCGGTAGTTGGTGGGACATAGCCGTGATCCTCCCTTGTGGATAGGTACGACGTTAGCCAACTTCCATGTGTCAGGTTGTTTGCCAGCTTCCAGCGATTTTTGGAAGATTATAGAAAGTGGCTCTGCTAATTCTTCAACTAGCTGACGCAGGAGTACACCTGGGATCTCATCTGGTCCAGGTGACTTGGCAGGATCCAGCTTACTTAGCTCTGCTAAAACTAACTGCGGAGTAAAAAATACTGTGCTTATAAGTGGTTGGTTGGCGGGCAGTGGAAGAGAACAGGACTGGAGGGGTGGTTCCGTGGTGTAGACACTTTGGAAAAACTCGGAAAGAAGCTCGGCTATTTGAAAGCCATCGCTCACAATTCGGTTATTTTTGTCCTTGAAGGTTGCCAGATGGTCCCGGTTTTTCGTATTGCTCCTGATATATGAATAGAACGCTTTAGGTTTTTGCTGCGCCTCTTCTAGGAGCTTCATTTCACAAGAAGCTCGTACTTCTCGGATGAGTCTTTTGCATAAGGTTCGTTGTTGTCTGAATTCCTGAAGGTTATCTGGGTTCTCCGTTTGTAGGAAGATTTTCCACAGCTTCCGTTTTTTTCGGATTTCCTTCTTAACCGCTGTTGTCAGCCATTTCGTTGGTTGGGTGAAATCGCCAACAGAGAGTGGACTGACCACTTTCCCATGCAGCATCTAATTTCAGTTAATAGCATTCTTCTACCACTTCTAGTACTGGAGATTGCCCACAAAATTCCGCTTTTCTGCCTTTTCCTGTTGACCACGCAAAGTATTACATGGTTAGGTGATCCCTAACCGGATGTAGATCGGGACAATAATACAGACAAAGAAGGTCTCCCTTGCCATTCATCAGGAAGCACAGGGACGAAACCTGGGCCCCAAAAAGGTCAATTTAAAAATGTAGGCAATGAAGCCCTTACCATTATTTCCCCTGTCACGGTTTTGAGAATGGCGACACCAAATTTATTCGGGCTGTCGCCGTCGCTGGCACAGCGCTCCTCCAAAATGACCAACAGGTGACGACTCTGGCTGCTCTCCGCATCTAGTCTGCTGAGCCGTCGCTGGCACAGCGCTCCTCCAAAATGACCAACAGGTGACGACTCTGGCTGCTCTCCGCATCTAGTCTGCTGAGGGGTTTCTGGTAACTGCTGGCTGAAAATGACTCATTCAGAGAACAATCCATTCGTTCTTCTTCATCGTCGACGCTGGAAGTGCTATCGGAGATGCCACCGCGAAGACTGGCAAACCAAGTTCCAGGGGTGACGATCTGGCAGATCTCGCGGCGTACAACCTTTTCACTGCCAGGTCGGCCACTGGTTCTCTTGGACATGTTCTCAGGTGTCTCAGTCTGCTCTACCCGGGCCACTTTGTAGCCCTGTTGGCAATGGACAAGGGGATAAACAAGCATTTTCCTGACATGGGTTGGAGTGAATGTAACAGATGACAAAACCTCAAGCGTTATCAGATTCTTAATCAAATCTTTGTCGAACCTTAATCATTTGTTTTGCGACTCTAGTCGTCGCTGTAAAGACAATAATTAGGAACGAATGGTCAACAAGCAAAAGGAAGGAAGGGCAGTGGGCGACTGAATATCACAGAGGGTGGTGGTACACAATAATACAAACTACTGTGGAAGGGGGGAGGGGTAGTAGACTATAGTTTGGACAGGATGATTCGTTGGCGGACCAGATGCATCACTCTAGGCGCAGTTACAGACAATGTCACTGAAGAAGAGTTTACTTATAAGAGCAAATATCCAAAAAGGTCGCAGGCACTTGACATGATAGTCGTATTGCACGGCTTTGATTGCACGCATAACAATAGATTCAGAGCCCACGTTCATCAAGACGAAATTCCTCAAATGTCGCCTTCGCTGGTTAAGACTACGTTAGAGCACTGTAGCGATAACAAATGGATTTTAAACACGCCCAAGCTATCAGGGTGGGCCTTAAGATTTCTAGAGGGAGTTGGGATTAATTATCAGTTTGGTTTGTGCCACTGATGATCCCCGCTTCTATTTTTTTTTCACCCAGTACCTCTAAGCCCACCTTTTTTAAACCGCACCCTTTCCTACTAAATTTAGGGCGATAGCTTTGCTTAGCCCTTTATGATAACTTATAGGTTAGAGGCAAATAATGCTGATTGGCAACAACATGTTACTGGCGGGTGGTAGCTCTGACGGTTTAACAACCGGTGTGCCGAGAAAATATGAAGGTTTAGACCGAGACACTCGGAAGTTACTCCGTTGCGAATGCAGTCTGCCAGTGTCATGGTGAACTCTCCAAATAACTGTCGAATGTTGAATGAAAGCCGAAAAAGTAAATAAGACAACGAGCGGAGGCGTCAAAGGGAATTGTAGACCGAACGATCCCCGAAAATTAAAAATCGAGTCGAGCGGAATGATAATATCCACGGCTGAAGTATGAAACCGAACGGCATTAGCCACAGTGACTGTCAATACAATAGACTATATGTCAATTACATGGTCACCAACGCGGATACAACTACAAAGGACTTTTATGCAGAATGGTATTACCGACAAAGACAAGGGAGACCGGAATGGCCATTTCTGGCTTATGAGTCGTCGTCAGCCAGTCATACCCAACCCCTAAGTTTGCAACACCTGGGGCTCGAACTCGCAACCTGTTAGTTAGAAGTCAAACGCCTCTAACCAATAAGCCACGGGCTCGTTGTCTTGTCGGCTGCGATCAGGAATATACAATGGTATAGGGACGCTCACCGATCGTTCCTACGGAACTCACTGATCCCGTTGTACCTTATGGGCTCTCTTTATCGAGCCCAGCCAGCAGCCGCATAGCGGCGCATGATATTGGGCTCAAGAGAGAGCCCGTAAGGCACAACGGGACGAGTGAGTTCCGTAGAAACGATCGGTGAACGCTCCTCTCCCAAGGACACTTATGTTAACGACTGCGGCGCTTACACGTCTGCGATGGAGTGAGTGTTTGGTGTACGCAGTCATGAAGTGGTCCGCGATCTGTTTCTCGCAGATGAGTGCTTCCCTGGCACTACCCAGTTTGTATATGCTTATGTAAATTTAACGAAGGGTCCTGTCCCACTTGCTAATGACCGCTACTTCAGGCATCTAATCAGATACCCCCGCAGCCTATAGGTATTTAAGCACGACCTCATGTCACCTAACAAATTCAGTTTGTCCAAATAGCTTCGTTGACTAAAGTCGCTCAGATGAGTCAAAACGCGTTTTTAATGCGGCGACCATACCTTGTGAAGTAGCTGATTAGCC